GGACCGTGCCAGCTTTGGGCCCAGGCTCAGTGTGCCCTCAGGACCGTGCCAGGTTTGGCTCCAGGCTCGGTGTGCCTCAGGACCGTGCCAGCTTTGGGCCCAGGCTCGGTGTGCCTCAGGACCGTGCCAGCTTTGGGCCCAGGCTCGGTGTGCCTCAGGACCGTGCCAGCTTTGGGCGCTGCCGCTGCCGTACCTGGAGAGGGGTCCCGTAGGGGGGCTCGGCTTTCTCGCTGCTCTGGGTGGCCACGCTGGGGTTGCTGGAGCTGATGAGCACGGGGGAGCTGATCTCCAGCGCCGGGCGGTCGGTGGGCGAGTGCACCATGCGGTTCAGGGTGTTGAGGGCCGTGGTGATGGAGAACTGCCGCAGACTTTTCCGTCTGGAGTCAGGCACCTTGGGGAAAGCCGCCGAGTCCGTGGCCTTGGCCTTGGGAGACGCCGTTTGCAGGGACGCGCCCTTGGACTGGGGGGACCAGTGGCTTTTGCTGGCCTGCAGGAGCTGCTGAGCAGCGCTGCTGGGCTGGAGGAGACAACAGGAGACCGGATGGGCTTTCAGAAGTTACACCTGGCACAGCCCTCCACTGCTCTGTTCCCCTTTCCCATCCGGCAGCAGAGCTGCAGGCGGGGGTCAGCTGGTGTTACAGGCTATCTTTAAAATCTTGGGGCTCTGTCATTTCTCCCATCTGTTGTCAGTGATGAATTCTGGGTGTAGAATTCCCAATTCAAAGCTGACAGCAGAATCAAATTTTGTTTGAAAGACTTGTGCTAAGACAAGGGGTTACTGAGGATGAGCGCTCCCCCCGATACGCTCCTTGTCCAAAGCTCTGGCTGGCAGCGGTGCTGGGAGAGCTGTACTCAATAACTCTAAATCAGAAGGGATGTTTAGACTCACTGCTCTTTCCCTGGCACCTGTGCTGGCACACAGGGGTGCATCTGGCAGCAGGACGGCCAAGCTCTGCAGCTGAGGGTATGGCCCGGGCTCAGAGAGACCCTCACTCATGCTGGCATTCCCAGCAGGATTAGATCCAGCACTTCTGTCTCTGTCAGCTGGAACACTCATGGCCCCATGCTGCTTCCATTGAAAAAATCCTGACTTGAGGATTGGGGTTGAGGAGGGAGAGGCCCCGAGTTTGCATACGGGCAGTGATCACACAGTACTTCTTGGAAACTGCTGATCAGCACGTTAGTAGCAAAGGGCATGTGGTGACAATGTTTTTCACCACGATGGGTGCCAGAGGAATTAATCATGATTTACTGTTGACATTGATGAATTGCAAAACTTGGAGAATCTCACCCACTCGTGGGAAGCAATGTGCTGGATGCCTGGGATGGACAGGGAGACATGGCAGGAGAGGTACAGGAGGCTCCCAGATGTTGTCATTTCACAAGAGGGATGGTTTTCTCTTTTTCCCTCTCCAAAATAAGGTTTAAAGCCCACAGTATGTGTGTAGGTACACATGTGCCATGGCCATCCTTGTCATACGTGTGAGTAAACTGGAAACATTTTTCTGCCTATCTAAATCTCAGGAGACATGATAAAATGGGGCACAAACTGTGTGTCAGAGCCAGGAGAGCCTCGTGTCTCCCAAAGCAGCCCTACCTTTGCCTTCTCTAGAATTAGTTTCTAATTCTTTGGAGGCTGCGTGTATCCCTTAACTAACTTGCGTCTTTTAATGCCGGACTTGAAGAAGTCATTACTGAAGCTAAAATTATTTCATTAAATGAAAAAGACATTTAAAAAAATATATTAGAGCTTCAAATAAGATGTTTTGCTTCTGTCCTCCTATAAAACAGCCACAAAGAAGAGCTTGCCATAATTATGGGCATTACAAGTATTAATTTTATTTCTAGGAACTGGTGCCGGTGCCATTTACACCCTGCATCTCAAGCTAAACTGCCCAGCACAATTAAAGTCTAGACCAGTGCTGACAGAGCTCTGCTGGGGAGCGGGTGGCTGGAAGGTCTCTGGAGCCGCAGCCCCTGGAACGCCGCCTGCGACGCGCTGAGCTGGCGCCGGCCGGGGCTGCCCGCGCTCCTGGGGATGCTGCTGGTCACCCTGCCCGTGTTCCTGGGGGTGCTGCTGGTCACCCTGCCCGGGCACTCCTGGGGATGCTGCTGGTCACCCTGCCCGGGCACTCCTGGGGATGCTGCTGGTCACCCTGCCCGGGCACTCCTGGGGATACTGTCAGTCACCCTGCCCGGGCAGTCGGGGGATGCTGCTGGCAGCGGGGGCCGAGGGGCTGCAGGACCCCCAGGCAGCTGCACCGAGCTCCCGAGGAGCCGGGGCACAGCCCTGCGGGCGGTACCTTCTGGAAGGTCAGGATGTCCTTGCTGTCCGCAGTGGCCCGGCCCCGCAGGTCCAGGCTGTAGAGCGGGCGGGGCAGGGGCAGGTGCTTGATGACCTGCACGGAGCTGGCTGGGAAAACGCCGCTGATGCCGTTGAGCTCGCCCAGGTACCAGTTCTCATCCAGCTGCCGCAGCAGGGCGATGGTGTCCCCCTTGTTGAAGCGCAGCTCCCCGGGGTTGTGCCCGCGGTAGGTGTACAGGGCCCTGGCTCGTGGCACCTGGGGGGACAAGAAACAGCCCCGTCCGACACAGAGCTCCCCAAAAGCGTTCGTAATTAATGGGGAAAAAAATGCAGAGGTCTAAGGCTTAAGCATGCATTTATTAGGATTAACTACCCACATCCTTCCTTGATGGGTTTTACTAATGAAGACAAGCTCCCAAATACTTATGCTAAGTTTGTATCAAGATGAAAAGCAGGCTGGACTTGTTTAAGAATATTAAGAAACAGTTAAGACCTTAAACTAGTCTTCCCATGGGATCTTACTGCCTGCTATAAGGGCTCCTCCAACACAATATCTATTCTAATGACCAGGTATTTCTATTTCAGAAGGACTGGAGGCTACAGCCATCGACCTGGTGGTTGTCACCCACCAGGAGAAGGCAGCAGAGCAAGGTGAGTGCAGGTTCTGCGTTCCCGTGGCTCTATCTCTGCTTTAACATGTGACTGTGGGTTTATTTCAGCCTTTTCCTGGGTTATGGGAAGAACTGGCTTAATGTTATCATTGTTGCTGCTTAACATGGCATAGAAGAGATGTGCCAAACCCAGAAGAGGTGCAGGGATGTTGTGATCTTGACTCACCAACATGAACTGACCAAGTTCCCCTGAAGCAGCTGTTGTGCTGAGCCCTGCCTGCACCAGGGCTCTGTGTGGAGCCAGGACTCCTGGGCACAGAGCAGCCCTTTGAGGGGACAGCCCAAATGCTGAGCTCCATTCCTGGCCTCTTAGCTGGTGGCACAGCTACGTGAGCTCCATGCTGGGACGTTGGGGTGCTGGGATTTTCCCTAGCTCTAGAGCCTGGATCATCTTTCAGCAGAAGCGCCGGTGCCCAGGGACAAGGTTCAGCATATCTGGATTTTCCTTCTCTCTTTAGAGGCTGCCAGGTGATGTGGCACGGTGAGGAGCGTGCCCTGCAGTTTCTCCACAGTCACCCCCTCCCACTCATCCACAGGAGGTTTCTGTACCAGTGACACATTCCAGATTTCCTGCCTTTTTCTGAGCATTTCCCCAAATCCACCCGTGTGTGTGCCCAGGGCTCAGGCAGGACTCCTGCAGAGCTCCCTCTCCCTCAGACACTTTTCAGAGGTCAGGAAGGTAGACATGAGAATCTCAACATTAGTTTCCAGAAGTGTGGAAAAGATTGAATTTCCCATGGAAATTGTTAAGTTTTTGGAAAGAGGACATCTTCCAGCATCCCCAAACCCTGATGCCTGGTAGGGAAAAGGAACCAAGAAGAGAAAAAAAATCATGTACTGCTTTTACTTCAAAGCCTTTGAAATGGGAAGCAATTAGTTTAATGTTTAGTTCTAATTAAATCATTCTCTCTCTTAATTTGTGCTCACAGTAAACAATGTGCTTGGCTCAGTGACACCGACAGCACATCGCTGGGAGAAAAGCAGCAGGAAAGGGAGGCTTGGGCCAGTGCTGCTCTCCATCAGAAGAGCAGGGATCACATCCATGCCAGGGCTGTGGAGACTCCCTGCAAACACAGCTGGACAGTGAGGAGAGCAGACTGGGCACACAGAGCACGGACAGCAGCTCTCCCTCGGAGCCACCGGCTGCTGCCACACCAGCACGGGGCACACAGACCTCGGATTGCCTCGGGAGCAGCCAGAAAACAAACGGGACCTTCACAAAGGGCTTGGGAAGGAGGAGCAGCAACGTCTGGGATGAGAGGGAACTACAGGATACAGCAAAACATTAAAGGCAGCATGAATGAGTTATGGAAATATATTAAAAAGAAGAGAAACCCTGAAATGAAATGCATACCTGGTGCTAACTGGGAGCAGGGAGCAAGCAACAGAGTGCTGAGAGTCTGGAATATTCTTCCTTCAGCAGGCAAAGGGATGAGACAGCAGGGCAGACTGGGATAAATACCTGTGTTTAGGTGTGTTTGTGGTGCTAAGTCTGGCTGAGCACATCCCTCCACTTGGATGCATGGATGGATGGTTGGATGAATGGGTTCTTTCTTCCTCTGACCACACTCACAACCTTCAGCTCTTGCCCTCCTCTTTAACCCTTTCCTCACACTTTTCTGCCCTTTCAAATCTCCCTACCCAACTCAGCTTTTCCCAACATCTGTAAGCATTTTAAATTTTTTAAAAGAAATTTTGTTTGGCTCATCAGATACTGAGCAAAAAATGTCCAATTGATTTCCCAATTCTTTATTTGGGACATAAACTAAGCCTTTACCTACCCACAAGGAGCAACTAATGTGGTTTTTACTGTACAGGCCAGTCACAAAATAAAGCTGCAAGCTGAAGATTTCAGAAAGACATGCAAAATCCCTGTTTCTTAAGGTGTTTGTAGGGTGTAGTGAGGGACAACTGAAGCAGGCTGTGTCAGCCACGGTGCTGGAGCTGGGGTTGGTCAGGGGCCATCCCCTCTGCTGCAGCTGCAGCTCTGAGCTGCTCTGAGCCCTGTCTCAGCCTGGGCTGCTTTCTGCCCACTCCCGGCTGTCCCAGATCCTCTGCAGGGATCTGTTTTGCTTTATGTAAAGTAGGTTAATTGCAAAGGCAGAAACTGGGGTGCTAATTAACCTGTGATAAAGACAAGGAGTGCCTGGAGGTGGCTGAGGGCAGAGGGGGAGCCTTCTTGGGCCAGAACGTGCTCCTGGCAGGGGGAGGAGGACCTGCTTTGTTTTCATGGACTCATCTCCCGTTTGTATGTCCAGTTGCTTTTAGCTAATCCAAAGCAGCATTTCATTTTAGCAGGGTGGTAGCAGCAGCAAGTGCTCAGCCAAGAACTGCACACGCTGGCTGGTCCCTCGTGCAGCCTTGGACTCTGTCTGAACATCCCAGGGAGAAAACCCTGGGAGCAGCCTTGTGAAAAACTCAGCTGAAAGTTTGTGTAGAGTATTGCTGCCCAGTAGCAGAGAGAGAAACTACAGTGAAGAAACCAGTTTTGGGGGTGCCTGTAACATTTTTCGAGGCTGCCTCACTTTTCCTGATTTTCCCCTCTGTTTTCTCTTCCATCATGCCTGAGTGAGACCCAGGAGTTACTTCAGGCTCTCAGGGTGGCTGAGCCCCAGGTGCCCCTTGCCATGGGGGTGCCTGCAGAGAGTGTGGGGGAGCCCTAGGGAGAGGAGGCAGTGGGTAGTGCCAGGAGTGGAGCAGAACCCCTTTGCATCAGCACCGTCTCTGCGGGAGATGCTTTTCTCTCCTTGGCCACTCTGCCAGCAGGGATGGTCATGGCAGATGCACTTCAACTCCTTGTCCCCATTCTCAGTGGATTTGAGGCCAGTAAGGGAGAAAAGATTTCATTTTTTTCACTATTTTTGGCATTTGGCATCGGTTGTGCTGGGCAGACATCCAATGCCTCTGAGTCTCCCTCCGCACAAAACAAAGATTAAAAATATGTATATGTGTGTGAGGAAGCAATTTGGGGCATCTCTTCCCAGCAGAGAAATGCACTCTGTGATTATCTGCAATGAGCAGGTTATAACTCCTCACGGGGGACCCGCTGAATGTCTCTGCAGTCAATCCCAAGGGACAGATCCCAATCCCGGTCTCATGGGAGCTGCCCCACAGGAGACAGGACAGAGCAGGCAGGGTCAATGGCTCACCCTGAGTCTCCACTGACTCCAGGACAGACGTGAGGGCACAGCCCAGGCCATGCTCCTGCTGAGCTGTGACTTACACTGAGCATCATCCACACGCTGCCACCGAAGGAAGTGCACATGTCAGTGTTTTATAGAGATGATCAATGACATCTCCATCCCTCTGATTACTGAGAGCTGCCTCCAACATCCTGCCACAACTGCCCATGTCTCTGTGGCATGAATGAGCCCCATCGCCTGCTGTGTGCTCAGCTAGCACAGTTCAGGGCTCTGCAGGATCCAGGTGGATGAAAAGAGCTATTTGAATGTAAATTAATTGCCATTACAATTCTGTTTTTCTGCATTTCGGCAGAGGAGATAACTTCAGCCTTGTCACAGGGAACAAAACCTTCAAAAGTGAACTTGTCATTTCAATCTCTTCACATAATTATATTCTGAGGATTCAGACAGTTGGGTGGTTTCTGAATTATTTCTTCCCTGAGGAGGATTGTTCCTGTCTTCCAAGCACACGTAGACTGTGTGCACAAAGCCAGTCCCTCCTGCTCACGTCAGCCCTGGAGCTGCCCCAGTCCTTCCTGGGCCTGCCCAAAGGGGAGGCCAGCACTGGCCATGGCTAATGCTGGTGGCCACCTGCTCCTGAGCCAACTGGGCATCATGGGGAGATGCTGGAGATGTGAATTGTATGGATTTAGCTGTTTTTGTGCTGCTCCATCTGCATGGCTGAAGCTGCTGGGACAATGGCAGAGGGAGTGGGAGCAGCTATGCCCTCTGCACACTCACAGCCCTGGAGTACCATGGCACCAAGGCTCACATCACTTGATGTGATCACTCACATGGCCTGGCTTTGGCATGCACAGGTGACACAGAAAATGGAGGAAATGATTAAAGTGAACACAGAGCAGCTTTTCTGATGCAGAGGATGAGCGATGCTGAGGCTCCACTGCTGGCAGCCAGCCCTGAGAGGAACGCCTGGCCTCGTGCTGGTGCTGCTCCCACGGCTGCCCAGGAGCACACAGCTGGGTCACTTTGCCTGTGAAACACGGGGAACGCTCAGCTGAGCAGGAGGAATGCCCAGGGCTGGAGCTGGAGCAGAGTGTGGCTTTGGTCCTGAGTGCTGGCAGAGCCACAGGGGCACAGGGAGAGCAGGGACAGGTCTGGAAGAGAGGACGTGGCAGGGGCATGCTGGGCACCGGGCGCCAGCCAGCTCAGGCTGTAACGAAACCCTCTCACGCCTCTTGGCTCGCTGCTCTGTATCAGATGAGTCTGTGCTGCTGTCAGCAGTCCCGGGCAGTGGTTAACTTGTGTGTCATGGGTTTAAGCTGCACGGAAAACAAACTGTGTCAGCCCTTGGCGTGCCCAGTCATGATGCTCTGCTTCAGCAGCACTGTTCTCAGAAGAGGCTGTTTATTGTGCAGGGAGGAAACCTGCATCCTGCTCCCTCCTGCTGCTCCTGTGCCCTGTCCCTGCTGCTTCAGTGCCCTCCCTGCACCAGGAAAGGGAGCTCTGACGTGGCTCCTCAGCCAGCGCTGCCAGCCCTGGGCAACGTGGCCATCCCTGCCAGTGGGCAGTGGGCCTGGGCACTCTGCAAGCTGAGCTGGTGCTGGCAGCAGGGAGGGAGAGCTCTTCCATGTCTCACCTGCTGCCTCCAGCCCTGGCACGCTGCAGAGCTGCATGGCAGCGTGCCTCCTCCCCACCCTTCCCTCTGGAGGGACAGTGACAAACTCAGGCCAGCCACCAGCTGCACGGACACAGGGACACAGCGAACAGCAGGGACAATGGGAGAGGAGGGGGACTCAGAGGCTCCTGGCTGACCGCGGCACTGCGCAGGTGAGCTCGCAGAGGAGCCCTGCTGTGCTATTCCTGACTCGCCATCTGAGCCTGACTCATTGCCTTGGAAACAAATTAAAACACTTTTATGTGTTTGCAGCTTGGTACCTAATTTTGTAAAACCAGGGAAACTGGCTCCTGCTGCTGGCTGTGGAGGTCCTTGGGCTTTCCACTGCCCGGGGCACCACCCAGGAGTGCCCTGTGCCGGCTCTTGCTCACACAGATTTTGGGGGGTTTGTTGTCCTCACTCTCAGCCTGTGTTGCCCTCACTCTCTCTGTAGTAGGTACAAGGGCTAGAACTACATGCAGAGAGAGAAAAAACACCAATGCTTGGCACAAGGGGCCACCAGCACTGTGGGAGCAGCTCCTCGCTCTGCTCGAATGTGATGAGCCCTGACAGGACACGGCTGTGGAGGAGACCTGGGACAAATCCTTTCTCCACAAAGGCTGTAAGAGCACACAGAATTTTGCAGCCAGATGAAGCATTCTCTGTGTCCAGCTGAGGGGCTCTGTGGTGACCCCAGTGGCCCCAGCAGCTGTGGGGTGCAAGGATGCTGTGGCAGGCAGAGGCCAGGCTGGCAGCACCGCGGGTGTGACATCCCCAGAGCGCTTGGCCAGCCCGACGGGAGGGCACACACATTTTCAGGTCCTTGCTGTGACTACACAGGAACTGCTGGGGGTTTGGGGAGGGTGGGAAGGGGGTTGGCTCAGTGAGGGGGCCAGGAAACTCTTTTGCCTCTGCCAGGTGCAAACATGGAGTTTGCTTTGAACAAGACTTCAAGAAGCTCCAGCAATCCAAGTCCTGTCTGTCAAATGCAGAAAGGAGTTGGAGATGATTCTGGAGGAGAAGAAAACACCAAGACGCAAGCACTATCTATAGACGTCCGTGTGAAGGTGGGACGTTGGAGTGCAGAGTATTTTTATCCCAATAGAGGTGTTATCTGTCTATCTCCCATGAAATGCTGGAAGGGGGTGTTGAGCGCTCAGTTCATGCGAAGAGAAAATAGCCCAAGTCACAGTTAAATCTGCGTGGTCCGTGTTTTCCTGAGGCAAGCTGTCATACTCGGAACTTTTTTCCTCTGGCTCACTGTCCCATGCTTGTTGCATGACAAAGTTCAGCACCCAAGCATCTGTTCAGGGGCCTGGATGGAGTTTTGCCATGTGCAGGGTACAGCTGGGTCATCCCATCCCCCTGAGGAGGAGTGGGAGGTTCGTGCACACCTCAGCACACGTGGCCTGTTTGCTCACCAGCTCACGCTGGGGCTGCAGCCAGGTGAGGAGGAGCTTCAGCACAAGCTGTAACCACACCTGGCACATGCCAGGGGCAGCTCCTAAGAGTTCAAAGGCTTCAGCGTGGCTTATTTACGCATACACCTCCCAGCAAGTCCTTTTATGCTTAAATTCCAGACAGTTTGTTATGTGGAGATTCTGCAAATCCAAAGTCCTGTCCTCTCTGCACTGATGTTTGGGATCTGAAGGCCTGGCTGGGGTGCCAGGAGCAGCAGTGGGGCAGCGCAGGGGCCCAGAGCTGGGGGACACAGCCAGGCCGTGCTTATGCACGGACGGGTCCATGTGCACAAACCCAGCACGTGCCCAGCCACGTTAGCTCGTAGGAAGTGGATTCAAAAGGGATTTAAATGCCAGCAAATAAATCGCTTGGGATGAGCTGTAATTAGAAAATTCCCTGTTTTTTAACAACTGGCTCTGGGAAATTCCTGACCACAAACCCAGCGCTGTATTTGTGCTAATCCAGCAGCTCTGTGGGGCCTGCTTGCTCCTCCTGCTCAGAAAGAGACGAGCTCTTGGCTTGCTGGGTGATGGGGGATTGATTTTGTTTTTTGCCTTCATGGATGCTCATGAGCATGAAGAGCAAAGAGCTGGCAAGGAAACATCTCTGCTGAGAGAGAAACTTTGATCAAACTTGTGATGTTCTCAGCTCCAGGGAGTAAAGGAAGTTTATTTATAGAACAGCCTTGGTAAAGCCAAATGCTGGCCCCTATCCTGGATGGGTGGTGGCTCTGGCTGCAGAGCTGTGTGAGGCGCATCACTTGTAGCTGCTCTGTAGCACAAGGATAGTGTTGGGGTAATCAGCAGCCCGTGCAGATTGGAGCAGTCTGTTTTTTGGGAGCCGTGACCTCCCGCTGCAGCAGCACGTGGGCACTGCAGTTGTGAGCAGCCAGGGGAGAGCTGTGGTGGGGTGAGCAGCACTGCAGGGCAGCTGCTTCACCACAATTCCTGACAAAAATAATCTGCTCTGAGGTTCACAAACATCTGGAGGTCTCTGCTTACCCAGATTGCTTCAGGTGACCCTGGGACTCCAGCATCCATGTGGCAGGGTGCTGACAAGTCACCCTCATCACTGTCTCATCTTTGCACTGCACAGGCACTTTCAAATGTGTCCCTGCTGTGCTGGGTGACGTGCTGCCACCACTGAGTGCCAGCTTAGGGGAGGCTCCAAATCCATCACCATCCCACTGGAGTACCCAAAGTAACATCTGGTCCTGAATGCAGGTATTAAAAACCACTAAAACCAAAATGTGACTAATAGGTTACATTCTTCACCTTGCAGCAGAGGATTCCAAAGTGTTTTATAATTAAGTACCTAATTAAGTGTAAGAGCATTTCACTGTAATGTGTTTTATATCCCATCCAAGAGAGGCACGGGAGCTCAGAGGTCTGTCCCAGCGCCAGGGAGTCAGCCACAGCCACTGCTTCCCCAGTGCTCACTGGCTCTGCTGATTCCCAGGAGTTTGGTCTTAAGTTGGTCTTAAAAGCTTTTGGGAGCTATAGATGGATGGATGTTGCCATTATATACCAGCAGCAAGTTCCTACCTGTCCTGAGAACCAGTTAAAGAAACACAAAATGAATGAGAAGAAAACCAGACAAGTGTATTTGTGCTCTTTTATCCAGGGCCAGGAGAGTCCAATTGGAAAAACTACAACCTTTTCCTTGTCAGCTGGGATGCTGCCCGGGACAGCAGTGGCTGCAGCCCATCACTGTCGGTCTGGCCCTTGCACCAGTGGCCCCAGCAGCTCCTGCAGCTCCCCGGCAGAACTGGTGGCTCCCAGCAAGGGTCTCGGTCAGAGCAGGGGCCCTGCTGGGAGCCAGTGGCAGCCCAGGGAGCTGCCAGTGTGCCCCTGGCCCTGTTCCTCGGGTGCTGTGGCCAGGAGAGTGCTCTGGGCAGTGCCACCCGCCGCCCCCAGCCTGTCCCTGGCTGTGCCGTGCCAGGCAGCGCGCCCGGGAAAGGGACACGGTGCCTCAGTGTCCTGCACAGGGGGAACACAGAGAGAGAGCAGCTCCCCAGGGGTGCCTGGCTCGGGTGTGTGACCCATCCAGATCCCTCATCCACACCACAGAGATTCCCTGGGACACACGTGCCACCTCATAGCCACAGGACACGGCATGGCACCTGTGCCGTGCCTGCCCAGCCTCTACAGCTCCCAGCTCTGGCCAGGCTCTGCCATCCAAAGCCCTTTCAGCCAAGCTTGAGTGCTGCTGGAAGGTTTTACAGACAATGTACAGAACAGTTCAGGTGAGACAAATGGGAATCCAGGAATATGATGTGGGGAAGCTGAAGCCACAAGTCTCTACCCTGAATTCCATCTCAGCCAAGCTCTTTTAACAGGTCTAATATCAGTTCCTCATTATTTGACAAAGGCTTTTGTATTGTTAAAGAAAATGATGGAAAGAACTTAGAGTTTTAAAATTAGCCTAGTAAATCATCCCTAGGTACAGTTGTGAGTCAAATTTAATATTTTTAACTAGTGAAACTCAAGAACTTTGGAAGTAACAGCAGCAGCAGCATTGGGCACCCCCCTTCTTTTACAGTGCAAGGAAACTGAGGTGCAGCTACGGAAATACCTTCTCCACCACTAACAGTTACAGCTCTGCAATTACTGACTTAATTGCTATCAGTCAAAAGCAGTGTATTGCCTAAAAGTCCAAGCACCTGAAATGCCCTCAAAAGCCAGGAAGCATCTGAAAACTGCGAGAAAAGAGCTGGTCGGAAGTTTTTGTAGGGAGAAGAGCTTAGTCTCAGCCTAGGAGTCAATTTCTGCTGTGGTGAACTTGAAACAGTCAAATATCACATCGAAACAGCAGCCAAATTTGCAAACGAAACACTCAGTCTCGCTTCAAACACTGCAGTGCTGCTAACAGAGAAAGTTCCCGGCTCTGGGCACACAGCAGGAACCTTTCTATGCTCGTGGGCAAAAGAAAGAACTAAGAACCTCCTTACCCCTTCCATGTGGAGCCTGGGATTCGTTGCCAGCCGGTGCTGATGCAGCTGCAGCCCCCTGGGGACCCTCCTGATGGAGGCGGGGGAGGACAGGACCCCTGACCTCTGGATCGAGCCGAACCTGGTGACGTTCTGTCCACACCTGACTCCATCCAGGAGGCGAATGAGGAGCAGGTTGGAGGGCAGCTGCTCAATGCTGCCCAGGACCAGGGTCCTGCACTCGGGGCACCGCAGCTCCTTCTGGGATTTCAGGATCCTCTGCAGACACGGCTTGCAGAACGTGTGCTGGCACGGCAGCACCTTTGCTGTGGCGTCGAGCTTTTCAAAGCACACGGGACACTCCAACAGGTCAAGGAGAGCCAAGTCGTCCATGATCAGCGCAGAGCCCCTCCAGGAGAGGAGCCAGGGCCATCCACAGCCCGCATGCAGCGGAGCCGGGGGAGATTCCTCCCTGCGCCTGCGAGAGGCAGAGCCCGGGCTCAGGCAGCAATCCTGCACGGAGGGCGAGGAGGAGGCAGCAGGGAGCAGAGCTGCTGCGCTGGGGGAGCGTGGAACGGAGCCTCCTACATCCAGAGCTGCGGCCGGCAGCCAATGTGCGAGAGAGCTCGCTGCGCCTGCAGCTTGGCAGTGACTCACCCTGAGTCAGCCGGAGCCAGGGGACGGCTCTAACCCTAGCCCTAGCCCTAATCCTAGCCCTAACCCTAGCCCTAACCCTCACCCTGAGTCAGCCGGAGCCAGGGGACGGCTCTAACCCTAGCCCTAGCCCTAATCCTAGCCCTAACCCTAGCCCTAATCCTAGCCCTAGCCCTAAATCTAACCCTAGCCCTAACCCTAACTCTAACCCTAAATCTAACCCTAGCCCTAGCCCTAGCCCTAACCCTAACCCTAGCCCTGACCGGGCTCAGGGTCCCAGCTCAGGGTCCCCGCTCAGGGTCCCAGCTCAGGGTCCCGGTGCAGGGTCCCGGTGCAGGGTCCCGGTGCAGGGTCCCAGCTCAGGGTCCCGGCTCAGGGTCCCGGCTCAGGGTCCCGGTGCAGGGTCCCGGCTCAGGGTCCCGGTGCAGGGTCCCGGTGCAGGGTCCCGGTGCAGGGTCCCGGTGCAGGGTCCCG